TTGAAAATTTATTATTTTCTAGGGTGTCAATCCGGACTGTTGGGCAGCACACTTACATTGTCGCCAGCTTGCACTCTATTAGTGAGAAATCCTTTAACTTGGGTCATACAAAAATAGGCTGAATTTGTGTAGCAAGATTATAACTGGAGGACTAGTAAGAGATTAAGGTGAAGGTCAAATAAGCAATCTCTAAATGATAAATTTACACCTAAACCTACTCACTCAGACACCAGGCTAAATTCTTCATGTATCATCTAACACTGAAGAAAATGTATTTCATAATCATATGGCTTCAAAATTTAATTCTTGTATAGGTCAGAAGTGTATGGGAAGATATTGCATAACTGTGAGAGGTTTTACATTCCAAGTTTGTGGTTTTCCAATCAAGTCCACTGTCATTGCTAGAGAGACACTGTTTTCCATACCGGGTCCCCATGGATTCCTCTGATGGTCTCCTTAACTGAGAAATTGATGTCGAGAGATTATACTGTCTGTAATTGTCTTGTTTTTTTTCTTCCCAAATTACATTCAAATATTCTCTTTTATCCAGACTCACTGGTTCAAAGTAGAATAATCATGAGTAAAACCTAATGCAGGAAAATAGTGATTCCAAGATCATTAAAAGGGTTCGTTTCTCTGTTATTGTAAACAAGAATGCATGGTCATTACTAATAAAAGTATTTTTAATTAAAATAAATTTCTTCCAGAGCTCTTTTTTAAAATTAAAAAAACAACCCTAGAGTCACTTTCATCCCACAGTAACACTAATCATCAAATGTTGAGTTCCCCACAGTAACACACTCATCATCAAACAAGTTCCTGGTCATCGGTGTCACATGATTATTTGAATTAATTGCAATGTGTTACATAATATCACTTAGTCATTTGCAGTTCTGTCTTAATGAAGTTTTCCATGGATGTTTTACTTGTAATTGTGTTTGTGAACACTCCTTTGTATGATCCATCACCATTTACATTGCTCTGCATGACGAAATGCAAAGAAGTTTTTTTTTCTCTCCAAAAAACAAAGCCATACAACACAGGAACCATTATCAAGGACATTCATTAGCACAGATCAAGTGCTTTGCCATTACATAATACACCATTTTTGCTGATGATGTTCCAGCTGCATGCATAGCATTTCAATGAAATTTGTGGGAATTGGACCCCTCCTGTTCCATTCCTTAGAAAGTGTTACAATTAATGGCACCATGACATTCCTTTATTTATTGACTTTATGTAACAGTCAAGGTCAATGACATTCCTTTATTTATTGACTTTATGTAACAGTCAAGGTCAAGGAAATGTGATGAGTTTAATCTCAGTGTTAAGGGAAAAATTCTGTTTGCATTTTTTTCTGTTTCTCTCTCTCTCTCTCTCTCTCTCTCTCTTTTGGCTAAATAAAAGGAAAACAGATTTTTTTAAATATTGATTCATTACAGAATTTTATTGATTTAATAACTGACTACCAGAATTAGGCAGCTGAAAAATAATTAAAACTTTAAAAGAAACTTGGCTCAAGAACACTGTCAACCTCTACCCACAGGTAGTCTTTGAGAGAAGTTTGAACCTAGCTAGGCCAAGGGAGAGAAAATATGCTCTGATCAAGGATTTTACACAGAGAGGTTTTACGACCTTGACCTCTGATCAAGTAAGTTGGTTCAAGATCGCTGCACTCTTTTTAAGAAATAAATAAGTTTAAAAACTTCTCTGGGAAATGAAGTGGGTCGGTCACGTGATAAATCCTGTGAAGGCCGAAGGCCTTCTCAGAAGATTTGATCATGAACCGACCACTTCATTTCCCAGTGAAGTTTTTAAACTTGTTATTTATTACTTATATATACATTTGAGACGGATGATCGAATATAATCAAATATAAATATTGCACTAACTGTACATTGTAGATTTTGACAAATTACGCAAAGTGTAAATCGGCTTGAAAAGCGGTTACGCTTCAAATTCACTTGGCAAAGGATTCTGTTTTGAAAGGAATATTCTGTGAAAGGCTACTTGTGATCAATTATAGTGAGCATATTGGCGTCTGGGAATTTTTGTATTCATGAGAACCCATATTCAATGTTTAAAAAACACAAGAAACATGTCCGATGTTTGATAATAAAAAATTGGAGGAATTTCGGTCGGAAAGGGATGGATGGAGACACTTGTCCGGACCAGGTTAACTTGATATCAAGTTTAAAATTTGATCAGAAACATAAAATCTACGATTTCAGTAAGGCATATTTATTATGATGTTGACACGGAGACACTGGCGACAGCTTAAATTGTTACATGTAAGACAACGATCTCAATGATGGAGGTGTGCCTACCGAACTTCCGAAGTGTTTGTCAGCTGTTTGTGGCGTGATTGCATTACATAGATATTTTCCGACAGATTTTCAGATTTATTGTGAGTACAGTTTGATGAAAAAAACTTATAGCATTCATAGGTCTACAAGAAAAATAACGTTAAATGTTGAGACTATGGAGCTCAGACATGAAACTTATAACACATAGTTTTCTATTCTCTATGTAAAATCGATCAAGAACTGTATTAAATACTCGTTTATACTGTAAATAAAATGATTATTATTTTACTTGCGTATTTTGTACATTTTTATGCATGAAAAACATGCTATATTGCTAAGTAGAGTAAGTCTTTTTATGTAGATATTACTGCGCTGTGTGATTAGGTCACGTAATGACCTATGACCTTCAAAAAACTTCATACAGGTATGAAGATATTTGCTCTCTGTATGTTTATATAATAGAGAGATACCACAAATGTATACATTTACCCTTGGGCACTCTATGGGTAAAGTTTGAGCCTTACTGGGCCAAGAAGAGAGAAAAATATGCTCCAGACAATTGAGATCGGATGGAGGAGGATGGACAAACAGAGAGACAGACAGACAGAGAGACTGATCACTACAGGGCACCTGCAGACCGGGCCCTTATTATTATTAACCTACTTTACACAATGAATATTATCAAACATGAGGACTGATGGAAACTAAGAAAAGAAGCACAAGACAGAAACATGATGGTTATATCGACTCAGACTAAACCTGCTATTGAAAGCAATATTGTTAAAACCGTAACGAGGTTCAAAACTTCCTGGTCAGTTACATCAGCATCAGTGCATCTGCATGTTTACAAATCATTCTTCAGAATCCCAATTTGGAAAAAAAATCAAAATCACAAAGAAGATGTAACTGAAAGGGAACACAGGCAGGTGATTGGCCTGTATAATCCTCTCCGGACATCACACACCTTCTGAGAGCAATACCCAAGTCTTCACCAGTGATATAAGAGGCTCAAAGAAAAGAAGGAAATAAAACACGCGGAATAGCGGGGACACAAGTCTGGTTTTATTAAGAAAAAACAGATGAGACTTGATTAAAGGATGATGAATAGTAATAAATGGTGTCTTTTATTGAACAATTACTGATGAAATATCGACAGATTTGCAATAAACATTCTAGTAACTGCAGTAAGATCTTACAGCCAGTGATTCCAGATTCTACATATCTCACTCGACTCGAGATGTTTTTATTAATGCTCACCAACAGGAAGAAGAAAACTATGAAAGTCAAACTCTACACTATACACTTAGTTACTATAATATAAATCACTGCATTAAAACCATAAATATCAACAATGCTCCATAAATCAGCTTATCCAGAAATGATCAGGATACATCTGACAGTCATGGACTTTACTATAACAGTATCATGTATACTTTCAGACCATTAGATTTCTGACTGTAGGGTCCTGTATCTATAAGTCCTGGTCTCTACTTAAGAAACAATATGTTAAGCTGTAGTCTGACTGGTGATTTTCTTTCAGTGTTTCATATGATCCAAGGGAGACACATAAATGAAAACAGAGAGAAGATTGTATAGACTTCAGCTTGATGTAAGATGGATTGTGCTATAAACAGCAAATATATTTAAAGTTGTGTCAACCTACGTCTGCTGATACTGCTGCAGTGCAAAAAGATTAGTTTTCCTTGAAAACTAGCATGTAACAATTATATAAATATTGCATGTAGCTGAGTGTAACATTGAAAATTTTCACCCCAAGAAAATCATTGTCAACCTTGGTTTTGAGGGGTGAGTTTTCAATGTTACACTCAACTACATGCAATATTTATTATATTATACTGAATGTTTTATACAATAACAGATAACAGTGAACCTTGCACGCATAAATTCTGTGCAGTCACTATTTTTTTTAATAACACCCATCGTCAAGAAAAGTTGACTGTTGCTATGCTTTAGGGCGTGGCTTCATCATTCGGCGGGTATTATTTTTTTTAACAAATGTTTCTCAACGAATCAGATTCAACTAATTTACATGAAAGTATAATATAAACATTTATTGACTGGGTTCAACGGCAACATGTGTTTTGTCAGACCCTGTTTGCCTGAGGCCATTAGGCCAAACAAACAAAACGCATTTTGCCAAAGAACACGGTCAATAAATGTTTTAATGTTTTACCTTTTTTTTTGTTTTCTGGCTAAACATGTATCTTTTGTTGGCTTCCATACCAACGAATGCAAATAAGATTTAGATGATCCCACCTACTGTGACATAATATCTCACAGGTTCAATATCTCACTCTAAGGTCAAACACCGATTTTTTTATGACCGTTCAGTAAAACATTAGAAATGTTAGTCTTTTTTAGGATAGTGTATGTAGGAACTAATTTTTAAAGGTACAACAAATTTTCTTACCCAGTACTGATTTCCAAATGAATTGTGAAATTTCTAGTGAATACATAGCTTATTTGCATTTTCTTTCAAAAAGTGGAAGCCATATAGTCTAAATCTATATTACACCATGTAAACCATGCCTGTCCACTTCTACTGGAATTTTATGATGATATCAATCCAGTAAAATTACATTTAAACACATTTCTTTCTATATATTCAGTGTAAATTACCCTATCCCCTGCACAAACGTCTGTTTGCAGTACAGCTGATTATGTGAATTTTACCTTTTGTAATTGGACACCACCAGAAAGAAAGAGAAGCGATTAAAATCCATAGAAGAGAACCATCATCTGAAAAAAAGAATAAGTATTTTTCAGTTTCCAAATTAAAAATAAATGAAAAAAAAAAACAATTTCATGTACTTTCTGTCTGTTGTCTAATAAAGTTTAGCAAGCTAGCAATTGATTTTTCAAGTATTTAATAAACTCTACCTAAATCCAATTCCAAACCATACTGACTATTACATCAAGTTGTCAAGTGGAAAGGGCAATTTGTATTCAATTTTACTTCATGGACATGATATACACAATATGAGTTATGCATGCAATGCACAAGGCTGGTATTGCGAGATTAGATACAAATATATTTCAAAAGATTTTATTTTCAAAACAGTTCACAATGCAATCATTAACCACACTGGTTGGGAGAAAAGCGAGAGCTACAGAAACAATGGATGATATCTCCAGTGCCTTGGCTGGACATATTTTACTTTATCAATAGCCCCTTATCAAAATCTTACATTTCATTGGTCGAGAAGAACACTGTATAAAAACCAACAGTATCAATTGCTGCCTATACTGACATGATATTGTTAATATACCCCCTTCATGTTACACCCACTGACCAGATATCAAATCCACCCCCCCCCCCCTTTCAAAGTGACATACAGACCAAACATCAAATTTCATATACTGTTTTCACTTGACCTAGCTAGGAGGTCACATAAGCACCAGATGACATCACAATGTAAACAATTGTTATGGAATGGTTTGCTTCGCTCTGAGAAAATGAACTTTTAATATTGAAAAATCTTTGTAGACACTAAGAGAGGTGTAATACAGAAAAATATGAGGTCCTTGAAAAAATGCATACTAGGCTTAGCTTATACACATCGCCCAAATATGCAGGACCCCATATAATTTTTGCATTAAAGTGTCTACATAATTAATAATGTTTTGATAATATAACGCTGGTCTTATATTGGCTCTGTGGTTGATGTCAAGAGAAGTAGTCTAGTACAAGCATGCATTCAAAAATCCAAATAAAATCAATAAATCAACTGATGAGTGACAATACATGTATTTGTCTTCATAGAAAAATGAGAGCTTCAGAAACACAAAATCATTAACTCTGCCTGTTATAACAAACATTCCACAATGCTTAAAGTACACAGTGCACTGATAATGCACTGAAAAAAATCAACCATGGAATCAGAATTTCTGCTAATGTGACAAGTGTTAAATGTACCGAGTACCTCTAAACTACATATCTGATGCCCATAAATGTCTAAATCATAGGGAAAAAGATTCCCCTGTATCAGTCAGACTTCTCGGATTATTTATTACAAATCTCTGTCATCGGTGTTATGAACAATATCATAACATGAAAAGTCCTTTACTGATTTCGTCTCCAGAAAGAAGAGACAAATGCACATTGTACAGTGGAACCCAACAGAAGCCATTATCTGTAGACAAGCCAAATATCATTACTGTCGATTTATGACGTACTGTTGATGCTTTTCTACAGCTGAAATGGATGTTGGACTTCTACAAACAGGCATAAAAGAACAGATAAAACCCCTAATCTCCAGTCAATTATTGGCCCAGAAACAGATGAATATGGATCAGTAGTTAATTAGGCATGATCCCCCACATATTTCCTTCAGCATCACTATCATCTCGGGCTGTCAACTCACTTAAACAGATATGCAGCACTTGTCATTGCCATGAAACCTTAATACTGCAGTTATGAAAAAACATTTTCTGAAAGATACCATATGACATATGACTGTAATTTCAGCACAGGCTTAAAGGATTTCAATCAAAAGATAATTGGATGCCCTGAAGCCAATCATTTAGACAATTAACTGTCTGATGCAAAGAGAAACTTCAGTGGCCTTTGTGCAATGGTCCTTCACTCAGTGCACTGAAGGTCTTGCTCCAGCAAGGTCATCTTTATTCTAGAGAAATGTAATCTTGATGAGGGTAATTTATTTCCTAGAACCCATTTGGATAATCAAAATGTATAAATTCTAATGGTTCAATCCTCAGGATTAGCTCCCTTGTTCCCATGTTTAAAAATAGACCTCAGCTCACTAATACTAGTAAACAGTAAGGTGAGGTCTATATGTTTAATGAGAATAAAATTCATTTTTTATTGAATTCTAGTATTTCTTAAACAATATATATGGTATTGTAAAAAATTTGTATCTAAACTATCTTAGGATGCTTGCACAGTAATATCACTCATCACTTTCCTGCTGTTCTTGAGAAGATTCAAACTTTCACCTCCTATTGTGGCCCCACCCTAACCCCAGGGAGGGGGGAGGACATGATTTGAAAAAAAAAAAAAAACAAAAAAAAAACTGAATCTTCACTATGTCAAAAAGCTTTCACTTAAATTTCATCTTTTCTGGCCCTGTGGTTCTTGAGAAGATTTTTAAAGACAACCACCCATTCATTTTTTTCATCATCTTCCTTTTCAAGAAGGTCCTTCATTTAAGTAAACTTGAATCCCAATCACTCAAGGAAACTTGGTTTTGTGGTCCTAGAGAAGAAGTCAAAAATGTGAAATAATAACAGACAATCAGCTACACAGACAGACAAACAAGAAACATACAAATGAGAGATATATGAGAAATATGGGTTCCTCATGTCCATAGCTACTACAGACAAGTCCCATATCATGTCTGAAATTCTATTGGGGTTAAGGCATTTTAGGTTTTTAACCTTGCACAGTCATATCAACATAAATAACCTTGTTATTGTGGAGTTCGAAACCCAAAAATGCAAAAATTACCCCAAAATGCTGAAAAATACAAAAATTTTACCTCACAGTGTACCTCTCGTAACAATCAACTTGGATCACAAAAGCTGAGCCTTTGGCCTAGGTGAGCTAAAAAGTACTTGAGATTCCAAATCACTCAAAGTTCAGCTGTATTTACCAATTTTTATTTTCAATTTTCATTTATTTTGTCAGTTTCTTTGATCAACTATGATCCATATTTTCTAAAAGAGCTTAATTTATGAATGGAAATACTATATTTTTCCCAATAGTATTAGAAACAGGAATAAAATATTTCAAACTCAGCAGGAGAATAAGAACTTTAGAAATAATGAACAAGTTTATAAATACACATATTGATGATTCTCAAAATACTATAGTCTGTTTTGATATTTATCGCCTAAAAACTATTCAATATATCAAATTATTTTTGGGGAAATTTTTGAAGAAATTATCAAAAGTCCATCTGCATATATTGACTTAGGGCTCGAATGTCATGACATCACAACCAAGTGTCAATACCTCAACCTTCAATCATCATTTATGAATCATGCTGATCAAAAGAGATCACATAAGGCCACAATAAATTAATTCTTTGTTTTACATCCCTGGGAGGGTAGGTTTTCAGGAAATCCCAGTAAAAAAAAAAATCATTAATAATGCAGGTTTGTCACATTTTTAAACATCTATCTGCATTTTATATATGTATATAATACTATTGGATTTCTCAGTATAACATTAGAAATGTAAGACTTCTTAAATAGTATAATACTGTAGTACCATGTGCTGTGAAACTAAACAATTAAGTATGTTACATGGAAAGAGGGCTTCTTTTCTAAATAAAATTCAGCAGATAAAAGGGCATGCATAAGTGTGTGTTGAACAAATATTCCATCTTTTACCATGCTTACAATACAGGATAAAATGTGCAATAAATATTCTTTCCAAATATCATGAGAACTCAAACATCATAAATTAGAGATCAACCCTCATAATCAATCCCTTTACATCAGGAAATGAAATAGAAATCTACTAGAGAAAAAAATACAAGCAAACTTAAAAGACCTAAATTAATCAATCCTAGCTTTGATGTTCATTATGATTTGACTTTAATGGGGGGCTGAAACTTGATGTGATTAGCGAAGTAATTAGAAGAAAAATGGAGTCCTAGTTTAGTAAAAGCTAAGCCAGTTTTAATTAACCATCCATGTTAGGATCTGTATAGTCCAAGAAAATACATAAAAACAGATATGGATTACCTTCTGCAAATCATCAGAATGGCCTCAAGTCCTAAATGAACCTTCTATACTTATTAATTTACCCTTCCCCAAGATCAATACATCGCCTCACCTAGAATTAAAATATTATCTGAATTTCAAAGAAAACCCCTCGAGCATATGCAAATAAACTGAGCTCATAGCAAAGCTTTTATTCTAACTTTATTGTGCTTAATTGTCAAATCATTGACATCCAAAGAAATCTATCCTAATGAAATAGGTGCTTCACCAAAATTAAACTCTTAGTGCACAATTGAATTTTAATTAACACTGCAGTAATACTAGACTCATTAAATTTGTATAGCTTCAATTAATGCATGGTACAATTTTACAAGGCTTCTAGACAAATAGACCTCTTCTAACATACTTTCCAACTGTTTTTCTTTCTTCATCCTCAACATGCCTCCATTCTCTTTATGTAGTGCATTGGTACAAGAGCTTCACAGTTTGCTAAAATCTTAATCAGGTAATTAAACTGGAAGTGAATTTCTATCCTTTTCACTATTTATTTCATAGGGCCTCATGCTGTTAGCATGGGTACTGCTCTATGCTGACCAATTCTTATAAGAAACTTTTTTTGATTTAAAGCTTGAAAACTAAGTAGGTATTGCTAATTAATTTTTCTGTACTATATCTGGTGCCAACATTTATTATTGTTTAGCCATTAAAAATTGTTTCCTCCATAAATCTATACTAAAAAAATCTAATATATATCCAATGTTTTACTGTGCAGTCCAAAAAAAAAGAAAAAAAAAAAAGACCTCTTGATGAGATGTTGGATCGCTATGTCAGTTTTTTTTTACGACATACTTTATTCTTCAGCATAGATGGGATCAATTACAACTAATTTGCATAAGATGGTGTTCCACAATTATGGAATTCTTTGTATTACGTTCAGCTCATTATAGTTATCTAACTTACTGCTGCTCTTTTGCAGTGAAGTCTAAGAAGCTCTAAATCTCACAAGATTTTCGGGCATAATATTGTTTACACTAGTGACAATCGAATGT